TAAAACTTGACGTCGAGTTGTCTCCAACCAGGGGAGAATGATGCAGATTGGTGGCTTTAAATTTTAATTTTATTTTTGTTAATTTTATTTTTAGAGTTTGGGTAGATTCTTTACTTCTATTTGTTAAGATTAATTATTAAAAAAAGATTTTTATGGAATAAAGAAAGTATTTCTTGGAGAGAGAGAGGCCTATTTGTAGGTGTTGTTTCTTCTCTTGTGTTTATGGGCCCGTTTTGGAATATTGTATTCGCACGTTTTATTCTTTCTTCTTGTAATTTCCTTCATGATTTTCATTTCTCTATCTAAAACACGATTATTTTTATTGGTGTTGTTTATCGGTAAATTTTACACTCCATCACTTATCCACCCTCTAGTAAAAAAAGAACATTCACCATCCTGTTTCTGTCTCTCTATTATGAACCCAAGCACGCACCAATCAATAGGCCATCATCCCCTCTCTCTACAATAAACCACCAAGTTTCACCATGGCTATCCGTTGCTCTCTGTTGTACCCAAGCAAATTAATCAATATGCCATGACCATTATCTCTCTAAGTGTCATCCAAGCCATGGGAAAAAAAATTAGGAAAAATTATAAATACCCCCTCCCCCCTCCGTCCCCCTTCACAAAAGGCGTTTTGATATCATACTATTAATTTCAAAATCATTCAATTTCACATCCAACCCCCAAACAAAAAAGTTGCATTTTGTTTTACTACATTACCCTCATTTTAACCTATGTTTCCCATTCTTTCTATAAAGTAGTACACCCTTAATATAGAAGTAGGTCTGCCAGAATGTGCTAGACTTGCGCAATTTCAATATAAACTAGTTTGATTCATTTTGTGTTGGACCGGCATTGAATATTAAAAGCTGTTTGGCACATTTTGTATCGAATCAACACCTTTTATCCAAAGCTGGCACAAATGTGGTCCAACACATGTTGGGCATCCCAATTTGGAATTGTAGCTTAAATTGGGGTATTTTAGTCCAAAAAACAACTTTTTTTTTTTGGGGGTGGGGGTGGATGCAAAAATATACAGTTTTGAGCAGTGTAGTCAAATTCGCTTTACTTCGGCTGCAAAGGCCAAAGGCTTTGGATTTTAGGGCTAGACTGAAGCAAAACGAAGCTTGGTGTTGTCAATTCAGTGAGCTTCTAGCCGATTCGGCCAAAGCTTCGGCTTCTTCAGCTAAAGCAAAGAAATATCTATAGAAAATTATTTTTCTGTATTTTTTATTTTCTAATATTTTTTAAAATTGTATTATTGTAATATATTTTATATATAAATATCTAAATTGTTTATATTAATTTTTTTAAAAAAAGTCTGAAGGCTTCACTCAAATCAGCCAAAACACCGAATTGTTTCATTTTTCTCACCGAACTGAAAAAGACTCGAAAATAAATGTGACAACATTGGTTTTGAGTTTAATAATGTAGTATGGAGGAACATGCCCAGAAAGTTCAAAATCAGAGACAAAAAAGAAAAGGCCATTGGTTGTAGCAATTATACCAAATTTAGGGTAGTGGGAAGATGACTGACTCATGTAAAGTGAGAAAGGAAGCCTTGGAATTGTGGATTGAAGAATGATCATAGTAATAGAATATGGACATCGTAGTGATGATGACGCGTGACTAACCCAACAAAAAAAAATAGGCAGGCATAGGCCAAGGGATTAGGCATGCTAGGCAAGTGATATCAAGTCACAAGAGGCAAAGTGTGGAACACCTTTACCATATTTCACATGTCCTTCCTATTTTCAGGCTCCACTAGTGCGCCACTGACTTCACATTGCACTGGCTCTCTCTCTCTTGAAAGATTCTTCTCTCTCTCTCTCTTTCTTAGGGGTGGCAATGGAACTTACTAGACCCGGGAGCGGGGTATACACACTTTATACCCCGGTTTGGATAGGTGTCCAAATTTTTGATCCAAATACTATATGGGGTTGTGTCTGGGTCCAGTTCGGACCGAACCCGTACCCTTAGTCATTAGGCATATAATGACAATCATGTATCTTTAGCGCGCGTGAGGTGTTCATATTATCACAATATTAAGCGCACTATTATGAATACTGTGGTAAGTTGGGCCCATGCCCAACCCCATTTCAAGCTGTTTCATATAGAGTTTTTTTTATTCTCAGTTGCCTTATCTGTTGGCCTTGAAAAGAAAGAAGTTTATCAAAGATGGCCGCTGGTTCCCTCCCCCTTTGGATTGGGTTAAGCTCAACTTTGACTGCAGTGTTAGAGAGAATGGACTAGTCGCTAGCTATGGGGGACTACTGCTAAGGGATTTTTCGGGTGCTACTATTTGGTTGTACCAGGGCAGTCTGAAGCCTTGTTCGACTAATGAAACGGAGTTTTGGCCTTTTTCTTTGGGGTCTCTAAGTTGGGGAATGCTTTTCAGTGAATCATCATTGAAGGGGATTCACTCAACGTGATTAGGTGGTGTTGTTTCCCAGCATGTACTCATTAGAGATGGATGCATATACGAGATCGCATTGTCAATTCCTTAGGCGATCGACTTATTTCATTCTCTCAATTCCATTGAGAAAGTAATGCGGATGCCGACATGCTTGTGAGAGGAGTCTCCTTCTCTTCTCTTTTGCTTCCTTTCTCCCCTGTTCTCTTTTATTTAGTTTGTTTTTTTTCTTTCCCTTTTGCTGTATTTTCTTTCATTAATCAATTAAAATTCTATTACTCGTTAAAAAAAAAAAAAAAATCACAATATTGACAACATTTACAGAATTATTAGCAAAAAAAGAAACTCATAATCATAGGTATATGATGGTAAAAAGAAGAAAAAGTTTATATAAGGTGTCAACCTTATACTATACAAATAAGGTGCACCTAACAAGCCCACTAGAGAATGTTTTTACTATGCTGGAAAACCCTCAAATCAATCATCTCAAACCTCGAGATTCATAGAAAAAGAAAAACAAGGAAATTTCTAGTCCTAAAAAGGGTTTATCTTCTGGAGCATCCATGTTCAAGATTTTTAAATGTTAATAGATATGTTTGATCGTCAGCATTTATGGAACTTTAAATTTCATAATTGGAAGCAACAATACATTTTTATATCATCGTAAGGCTTGTCTCACCGGAACTCTATTTTCGGCATAGTTTTGAGGTGCACCTTACTTCAATAGCATAAGGTTGACACCTTATACAAACCTCACTTGTAAAAAAAATGGCGAAAAAAAGAAGAAGATAAAAACTCATAATAATAGGGTGGCAATGGATCCGACCCAGTGTTCGGTACCCAGGGGGCTATGGGGGTCCAGACCGCTCAGCGCCTAGGCGGCCCAGAACCTGGGTGGCCCAGTTAAAAAAAAAAAAGACTGATGATTGATGATTGATGATTGATAATGATTAATCCATAAGAATTTTGATAATCCATAAGAATTTTGATCCATAAGACCATAATCCCAATTAAAAAAAAGATAGAATTCGAGAAGAGAATTTTGATAATCCATAAGACAAAAATCCATATTTTCACAAACAACAAAACCATACAAGCATACACTGATAGTTTGATACATTGTAGACTGTACACACAAAAGTTAGATAGTAGAACTAGAAACTAGTAACTAAAAATAAGAAAAAAAAAATATACAGTCTAGGACACAATAGTTAACACTCAATAGTCAACAATCAATACTCAACATCAAGAATCTTCACTCTTCCGTCATCATCATCAGATGGAATAGGGTAGCTTCATTATATGCGTCAGAATCGAGGTCATTATTATTAGAGTCATATTCCTCTTCAATATAACGTTCGTCCTCCTCTGTTTCTTCTGAATCTGCATCTTCCTCCTTGTTTTCTTCTACCTCCCTCTTACTAGTATGTGCTGATAAGGCCCTAGGAGTCTTGGCTCTTCTATACTTTTCTATCTTTTTATGTTTCTCTGAACTCAAATATTGTATAATTTTCTCTGAACTCAAATATTGTATAATTTTCTCTGAACTCAAATATTGTATAATTTACTCAATGGTAGTCTCAAGAACATTTTTATATGGACAACATTCCCCTTAATACCGGCAATATGTTTTTTAAACCAGTAAATGCCCCAATTAGTATCATTTTCACAATAATTACATTTAATACGATTTTTGTCATTCGGATTTGGGTTATAACTATACTTCTAACCCGGATCACTACTTCTAGAAGAACCTGAAGAAGATATTTCCACAGAGCAAGGTACATTTTCATCATTTTCTGGTTCTTTTAAATTTAGAAGTTGTCTAATCTCATCCTGAATAGCTTCATGAACCTTTTTAAAAGAAGCAACATTCTCTTTAACACCAGCAAGATGTTTATTTAATCGGTTAATACCCCATTGGTATCTTTTTTACTAAAACTATACCTTATACACTTTTTATCGTTTGGTTTTGGGTTATAATCATAGTTCTAACCCGGACCATTTATTTTCAGAGTAGCAGAAATAAAGATATTCAAATGACAAGGATTTTGTTCTTGTTTTTGTTTTATAAAACTCTAAAACTAAGTCAAATCTACCTGGATGATGTTTGGATCAATTTTCCATAACTTTGAAAAACACTTCGATCCAATGAAGGTCACAAAATTTAGTTTTTGAGGTTTCTTTCTCTCTAAAATGGGTTATTATGGGTTTAGGTTTGAAATGAAGTTAAAATCCATCATTCAAACCATTTATGTTTTAAAAAAAATCAATAAAACTCTAAAAAATTCTGCCCCTAGGCAGGGGCAAGCCCTGTGCAGCGAGGGATGGACGCTCGCCTAGGCAGGTTCTGTATCACCTACGCAGCCACCTAAGGACTGCCGCCTAGTTTGGCTGTCTAGGCGTGGGAGATGCGCTAGGCTTTCTTGACTACCTAGGTGGCCGCCTAGGCGTTGGGCGGTCCGTTTTTTTTAACACTAACCCGACCATACCTGGGACCCGATGGGTAGACATGGGATCTATAGGTCTGGGTCCTGCCGCATCCAACCCGTTGCCACCCCTACTCTTTCTCTCTCTCGAGATTCCTCTCTCTCACGAGATTACATGACCTATCTAGCGATTGCATGTGATTTCTCTCTCTCGCTGTAGAGATTGCATAAATCCCTCCCCCCTTTCCCCGGCAAAAGATTGCATGGGTTTCACTCTCTCTCTAAAGATTGCATAGGGTTTTTCTCTCTTTAAGGATTGCATGCTCTCTCTCAAAATCAAGTATAAAAGGGAGAGCCATGTAAAGAGGAGGTAGATAAAGGATGGATCCCTCTATCAGGAAAGATGTATCGCTCAAGGAGTTGCAAGACAGGCTTGCAGAGTTTGCAAGAGCAAGAGGATGGGATCAGTTCCATAGCCCTAGGAACCTCCTCTTAGCCCTTGTAACTCTCTCTCTCTCTCTCTCCTCTCTCTCTCTCTCTCTCTCTCTCTCTCTCTCTCTCTCTACTCTCTACTACTACTACTACTACTACTACTACTACTACTACTACTA